ACAAATGGGCATGAGGCTATTTTTCAAAGCAGAAGAATGAGAAGGCTGCCACTGCCCAGTGCAGAACTGGTATGCTGGACGTGGGGCTACGCTGGGCAGCCCCAGGCCAGTTGTACCTCGGTGTATTGAGGGAGGAGAGTGAAGAGATGAGGCAGAGGCATAAGCCCCACCACAAAGGCTGCAACCTATTCTGCATCCTCATATTCCCCCAGTGAAGGGACTGGAAGGCCGTAAGAGAAGAGCCCACTTCTGGAGAACTGCACACTGGAAGCAGGGGCAACCAGAAGGATCCCTGGCTGTGAACGCTGGGATAATGAAACAGGGAGGTTACGGGGAACGGCTATCGCTGGACAACGTGTTTGGAGCGGTAGCAAGAATGAAGGGAGGAAAAAAGGTTCATCTTGAGCTGAGCATAAGAAGCAGCGAGTTCCTGTGATGAGCTCATTCCTTCTCAAGTGAGCAGCAAGGGAGGAGAGAGAGACACTGGGATGGGATCAGATATACAGCCTAGCCAGGTCAGCGCAGGGGGGAAAGGGGAGGGAAGAACAGGAGAAGATAAGCAGGCCCCCTCACTGAGTCATAGCAGAGCTACCGCCGCTGGAAGGGAGCCAGATCTGCGCTGGAGCATTTGCCTCTGCTTTCTTCCTCTCGGAAAACCAAGAAACCCAACTCAGCTGCCTACCTGCAATGCATTCAGACTTGGTTGGCTGCAAAGCCCTGCTCTCAATTACGCCCAGCCTCAGAAAAACACAGGGCCAGAAGTAACTTAAAAACATCCTCTTCTTTGGCTGAGCTTTTGTGCTGCCCTGAAGTAAGATTCAGTCTTGAATCAGTGTTTTCGTAACACAAAATATAAAAATTCTTCAAAAGGAGATGAACAGTGGCAGTTGAGGACAGCAGTCTTATGTTATCCCTCAAATCACACACCGCTTTTCCTTAGGTAAATTTTGAATCTGCCTTCCCCAAAGTCTCTTCCATCAATTGAACAAACATTTCCCAGCCTAACAGCCTTCAAAGCAATTCCAAAACATGTACCCATTTCTGTAAAATTTATCATGTGTCAGCCTCACATCACACCCAAACCTGAATTCAGATTATTATTATTTTTTTAATATTTCAACTATCCATTTAAAATACCCATTATCGTGCACCAACAGGCATCTTCTGGGTGCCTTAAGAGTGTCCTCAGCTACTTGGACTCGGTGTCGTTAAGTGAAGTGATTAATTTAGCAACCGCAGCTCATTTATTACTGTCTCCCGTAACACGACACGTATTCTCACCCGGATTTCTTTATGGATGGATTTACAGTTTGCTTCTGTCTTTCAGCAGTTGAACAACACCTGACAAACACGCAGCTGAGCATTCAGATACTTCTTTGGAGGTAGGCAGTGAAATCCTGCGGAGAAACTCCAAGACCTTGAAATGGCCAAGAGCTAGTGGGAAATAAATCACAACCCTGATAGCTCCACATGCCACGACTCAGCAACAGGAATGACAACTCAAGAGCCACCAATTAAAGAAAGGACCGTACAGAAATGGAAATTCAATTTGCAGCGTGCTTTCATTCTTACCAACAGGCCTTGCCATTTCTCAAAGGTTTATTGTTTTTATAAAAAAAAACATTTACAAAAATTGCTAGCCAGCAGAACAGAAATACTGCCTGAGAAGATAATGAGATCTTGTTTCATAGTTAAGCATTACCTGGTGAATTAAAGCCTATTGTTTCTAAACGTAAGAAGCAATATCACGAGGCTCCTTTAGAAATGCAAAGACGTCTACATCAAATAGTATCTATGATCTTACACAACAAAGCGTGAATTTAATACTGCTTTTACTGTATTACCACCGTGGCAGCGTTGCAGCATTTCTGAATTTTCACTTTTTGCCCGATCCATTATGCCAACAGACGTGCAAGTCTGCTTTTCAAGCACCAAACCGCTAAAACAAAACGAAATGGCTTAACCAGCTAAGATGCATTCAGACAGAAATTCTCGCAGTGCTTCACTTCGCCGTTTGCCATCGCAGTCAGAATTTTGCTCTTTGTGTCTCACAGAAAAACAGAAAATAGTAGGCGGGCTCTGGGCTTAAGGAAAGTTTTGATTCCTTGCCTTTTGAGCTCTTATTCAGCAAAGATGTAGGACGCCAACAGATGACTCGCGTGGTCTCGCTGAATAGAATGACATTTCTTCTTCTTCTTCAAAAGACCTAAAGAAGTTGTCGAGCACTGTCACAAATACAGCCCATTCTGGGAGTTCAGTCCTTCGTTATTTTTAACCAGAAGCCTCGCTTTACCTCCCCCAACCACCGTTACCACAAACCACTTTAATTTTGGGATGGTTTGCCAGTACAATCTCTAAATCAATGGTTAAGTGTAGGATTACAAAAAAAGCCCTCAGAGATAAGAGCCCTGGCAACCTTTGCCATTCATACGCCTCTTTGACCGCAGAAGAAGAGGCAGGAAGAGCACGTGCCTTCAGACCCAAGGTCCACTGCTGGTCCCAGACACAAGACACACTGCTGCCAGGCGTTTTAACTTTCTGAACATCTGCACAAACCACTCGCGCGCACCAATCAATCTCCCGTCACTCAGCAGGTGGAGTTTGGAGCCCGGTCTGAACCTGACTCCCAATTAGCTGCACAGCATGGACGCGCAGCTTTAAACGTACCAAGATCCGTGCCGAGCTAATCACGCCGGAGGTGCAGCAGCCACCGCAGACGTGGTGCTTCGCTGTCACGCAGGCAGCGAGGCAACTGAACACCTGGCCTGCAGGCAAGACGCACACGTTAAACCCAACGAGAAGGGGCTCTTCTCCTCCTGACCAGCTCACGTGAAGACAAGCATCACGGTGCCTGTAAACCAGACAATAAGCACACACCGCTGCCCTATATGGTGTATCACACGCTGGTTTTACCTTTTTTTTTTCCTCCCCTCAAGGAAAACATCAATAGAGATGTGACTGCACTTGATTTCATTTTATATTTTGACTCTCGAGCCAAGAATCAGATAGCCCTCTCTCCGAGGTCAGGCACTCTGCTTCTGACAATGACTGCTTACTCCCAACACCTCTGCAGACAGGCTTGCAGTTTTTTTTTTGCGTTGATTTCAAAAAATAAAGATAGAGGTGCAATAAGAAACGCTTGAAGACAATGAACAAACATTAGGTGGACAGCAGAGAAGAGCACCGTAAAAAAGTTTAACAAGGAAATGCGGAGAGGACAGCCAAGTCATGCTTCCTTTGCAGACTATAGTAAAACGTGCTTTCTAACCAAGATGAATTAGAAACACTTCAATTATGCAAACTAACATTAAAGCTTATGGTTTGGGAAGCCAAGGGTTTCCTACTGCGTTCCTAATAGCCGGACAACTAAACGACTGCACTGTTTACTTTAGGATGCCACATTCATGATATGGCACAGCCTAAACATTTTCTTTACAGAAAATAAGCCTTAATGAGTTAACCACACACACGCACGCACGCACACAAAGCCTGCTACCTGCCAGACAACCTCAGGCTCTACATTTTTTAATAATGAAATAGCTACTCGTGCCATTACATAAATATTATTACATAATATCTCCTTTGTATGCAAAATTAGAGCTACAACAAAATAGGCCCCACTACCTCAATATCGCATCTATTAATCCCACTCATCCACTTGGCAATTCGGGGCTGGAGATGCACCAGCTCACCACAGCTTTAACGCCTCACGTCTCCCTGTATCTGGGAGCAGATAATTGGGGAAAAAATGAAAAATGCCTGTTCTGCCGTGCGAGCGGATGACGGAAATTTGCTATTGCTGGGGTGTTTTGTTACACGTTTTTTTGTCTCGCTTCACGTTTGGTGTATACGAGGGGTGGCTTTTCCAACACGTCCATAAAACATGGAGAAACACCTTAATCCCCAAGGTCAGCATTACACAACGTAAGCATAAAGGGAAGGCAAGCGGTGACCCCTCGACACCTCGGAGAGGAGGCTGTTTGTGCAAAAACCACACCGAGACAGCAAAAAGGGGGGGGGTGAAACCCAAACACCACCCCCCCCCCCAAACCCTGAACCCGGGGGGGCAGCCCCTGGGGGCAACATGTGGCCGTGCCCGCCTGCACTGCAGCACCCGCCGCCCCCGGGGGGGGGGGATAATAGGGAATAATAAGGAATAATAATGATAATAAGGAAGCGTGATGGTCATAATAATTAAGGAATAAAGCGCTGGGTGAGTGCTCCCCCCCTCTGTCACCCCCCCCCCCCCACACACACACACACCTCCCTCCCCAGCCTTCACGGGGGGCCGGCAGGTGAGAGGCGGGGAGGGGAAGGGAAAAAGGGAAAGGAAAAAAAAAAGGGGAAAAAGGGGGAAGGAGGGGAAGGGGCCGCGACCCAGCCACAAAGAGCAGGAGCTGCCTCTCCCCCCCCCCCCCCCCACCACCACCACAGGCGCCGCCGGGCGGGCGGCCACAGGCCCGCCGCCAGCGGGCCCCGCGCCGCAGCGGGGTGAGGGGAGGGGAGGGAGAGGGCTGTCTGTCTGTCCGTCCGTCTGTCTGTCCCCGTCCCTGTCCTTACCTGCGGGGGTGGCGCCGAAGACTCTGACGACGGGCACCCGCCCGGCCGGGGCCTCCCGGCAGCGGGCCTGGCAGGGGTCCAGGCCGGGCAGCGGGCTGCCCATGTAGTAGTCGGCGGTGACGATCCGCACCGAGAACATGGTGCTGGCCGCGACGACACCGACACCGCCACAGCCACCGCCACAGCCGCCGGCACCGCCACAGCCACCGGCACCGGCACCGCCACAGACAGGGGCGCGCGACCGGAGCCCGCAACGGCTCCAACCGCCCCCCCGCCACCCCCCCCCCGCCTTCAGGGCGCGCGCGCAGCCCCCCGCCCGCCTCCTCCCTCCCTCCCCTCCCTCTCCTCTCTCCCTTCCCTCCTCGCGCGCGCGCGCGCACGGCCGCGCGCCCCCTCCCTCTCCCTCTCCCTCCCTCCCCTCCCTGCCTCCGCCTCCCGCTCCGGGCGCGTGCGCGCGCCCCCCCCCCTCGTTTTACTCCTCCCCCCCCGCGGGCGCGCGCTGCGGCTGTTGCCATGATGATGGCGTCACGGCCGGCGCTGAGGGGAGGGCGGAGGCGGCGCCATCTTGGGGGCCGCGCCGCCTCGCCGCGGGAAGGTGAGTGAGGCGGGGAGGAGGGGAAGAAAGAGGAATAAAAGCCCGAAATGCACGCAGCGGGGGTGGGAGGGGGCAAAGCGGTTGCCTTCAGGGATGGGGGCAGCCCTCCCCACCTCCCGGCACAGCCTGGGTGTGGGGGGTGCGAGGTGGCAGGAGGCGGGGGTGTGGAGCTGTAGCGCCCGGCAGGAGCCCAAGGCGTAAAACATGTGTTTCGCATCTTCCTCACACGTGTTTTGGGTTGGGGATGAGACAAAAGGCAGGTCAGGTTGCCACCCTTCTTTTTTTTTTTTTTTTTCACTGTAATGAGCAGGAAGCTTGCTCCGAGGGTAAGCGTTCAGCTACTCCTTCATAAGCTGTTTGCTTTCACTTACTTACCCCTATTTCCCCTCAACTCATCTTTATGCAAGCAGAAACAAAGTGTCAAACTCGCTGGTCCTCAAAAAACCTCGTAGCATAAAAGTGAGTAGTTGCAATAGGGCTGAAACCCAAACTGTTTTCAACTAAAGAATAACCGAGCTACAGCTTCCTTTTTATTTTATTTATTTTATTATTATTATTATTTACTTCTGCAAGGCTAATCTTTGGAAAACAAAATCTTTGGAAGTGAAAGAGTGTTCTGTAATGAACGCCCTGAATTGCATGCAGACTAGTAAATCGCTAGGAGGTTACCAAGCGTGTTACCAAACAAAGTTTCTAGCCCTTGGTATTTTAATATGTTTTCTACTGCTCCGTAATTAACAACATTTCCTTGATTTTCCATCAGATTTTGGTATGGACACTACCTCGTTGCGTGCTCTTGCCTTTCTGTTCACGTGATGGTAGGACTTCCTTGACACCGTACCTTCCAACCACTCCTTATCAAAGGCAGTAGGATGTCCGAAGACATCCTCACATCTTTAACACTGGCAGCTGTGCTCTGGCACCCCTTCCTGCATAGGTGTAAGGTGCTACAACATCAGCACTCCACTTTTGTACTGGGAGGTGCCAATCCAGTACCATATCCTGTTGTTATAGGCAGCAGGACATGAGTGTAGCTGCACCTCGGCTGGGTTGGAGTATAATCCTAGGCATTTAAGCTACTGGGTGATTCTGGCTCCTTCTGAACGAGTGCCATGTGTGAGGTGTAGGCACAAGTTCACCCCTGCTAGCCTGGCTGAAGGGAAGGCAACCACCCATGGCAGGGCAGTGTGGGTAGCTGGAACGGGAAACTTCTTAGAAGCACAAAGCAAGAGTCGCTAAAGCACATCAATCAGTCTTCTATTTCATTACCAAAAAAATTGTTTATTAAATCAGAGAGGGCTGTGTTTTGAATTAGGAGGAACTGTTGCAAAAAGGAAGACAGTGGGACTGAGACAAGAAGAGTTGATACCTAACCAAGAGCCAGCTTCCTGTTCCTACAGGCTATTTATTCAATTTCTGAACGTGTTGCAGGGCACTTTAAGCAAAAATTAAGTGTCTTTCCTTTTTGATGCAAGTAGCTTGATCCAAGTGGTAGTCTTAGTCATGAAGACATTTATTGGGTATTTCCTCCTAGCTGTACTTTTTCAGTTTCTCTTCATTTCTTAGAACACGCTTTGACTGCAAGGAGGATATGAAAGTAGAATAAAGAATTGTCTGCAAGGTCACACCGGGGTAAGGATGTATTTTCAGAAGGGGTTTGAGTCAGCACTGTCACGAGAGGTCCCCTGCCTCCCTCTTCATGGTAGTGCGAGTACTGGAATAGCTGCATAATAAATTGGATGTGGGAACTGAGCCAGGTAAAAGTGATCCAACTAAAAAGTTGGGGTTATGTTTAACCTAGATCAGGTCCCTCGTCTGCCTCGTTATGTAGGTGTGTGAGTGTCTGCGCTTGCACAGTGGAAGAGGCGGTGCAGGGGCTGAGTTTGAGCAGCAGGGAGGAAAAAGAGAATGCTGCTTGCAGCGCTGTTGGCTTGCGGTAGCCTAAGTTGATCGCTCGTTCAAGTTGCTGAAGTCAAAGAAGTGTTGATGGTATTGTCAGTAACCCTTACAGGAGGTGATGGAAACAAAGTCTGTCTGTGGATTTCCCTACATTTCAGCTTGTGTGTCAGGGTTTGCCTTTAGTACGCGCTTTATTTGTTGTTCGTGCATGTGTATACATACACATTTTGTTGTAGCTGATCCCTTGCTACCTGAAGATGCCAACATCCTAGGACGTCAAATATTGCAAAAGGAAATGTCGTGGTTAGAGAGCACTGCCACCCATTTCCCCAGCTGCCTTCAAACTCTGTATGGACTCTGTAAGGTTTTAGTCAGGTTTAAAGCAAGTCACCCCCTTTCTGTGCTCCTCCAGTTGCTAAGCAGCAGCTGTTCTCCCCGTTAGCCAGCCACGTATTTGCATGAAAATAATCAAGCTCACGTATAAAGCTGCTTCTAATCATGCGGTTAAACAGCTGTACAGTAAAAAATGGAGTGCTAGTAGTATTAGTTATCACTGTAACTGATTGCTGTCTTAAAAGGTAGGATTTCCATGCAGAGTAAAATCAGGACAGCTATGCTCTTTTTTTAACAAGAGACACGTCGGTTTTTTCTTTCTCTTAATCCATGCTCCGTTCACAAAATGATACCCACGGTTCACAAAAAATGATAAATGCAAATATGAGCAGTCAGCTAGCAACTAAACACGGTAGGGGGCAGGGAAAAGACACCTCTTCCAAATACCTAATTATAATAACAAGATTCCCCCAAAATGGTGTTAAAAGGTTAAACTATCACACAGAAGGTAACATTTTGTACAGGACATCTTAACTTCGCAACTGACTTACGTATCCCTGTTTGCGTGCCTATTGATTTCCAAGACATTGAGTTTTTCGAAGGTCTGTGCTCTGAAATCTTGGAGTGCTCTCTCTCTCTGCGGATGCCCTGGATTTATTCCAACTGTGTTTCAGAGCGAGGGCCGGGTGAGGGCCGCATCTTCTCGAGTGTCGATTCAGGTTACAGAAACACGTTTTCTGCGGGGAGAAAACCTGAGCGCACTGATCCGGAGTAGTATCTGGTACACTCGGCGTCCTGATCTAGACAGTCTGTCTGCATTGCACAGGAACTGCATCTCCCTGTGTGCACCACACAGAATCCATGGTCTCATGTTAGGCTCAAAGTTGTCTAGAAATGCTGAGAAAGTATAACTTAAATATTCCCCTACCTAAAGGAGTAATAAGGGTCAAGTCTTCTCTCAGGATTCTTGCTTTGGAGGCTTTTCTTAGTGGTAGGTACCTAGGCCAAGTACAACCTTGATCTGATTTGGGAGATGAAAGAGCAAGGAAAGCTTTCTCTTCTAAGTTAGGCAGATCTGAGGTTTGAAAACAGATAAACCTTTCACATATGGGTGCCTTAACAGCAGGTTAATGGATAAATTCATGCACCTGTGCAAAATATTAGGAAAGATTAGTTTCTGGCTGTCTTTAATGTTTTAAGAATGGTTATTAGACTGGGCATCTTAGGCAAGGCACACAGAATTGGAGGCAGCGTTGTGCAGTGCCTATCATAGCAGTGGCAAGTCAAGTGCTGTGTGGATGTTATCAGCTAAAAATCGAAACACAGCATATGAACAGCAGGGAATTGAGCAACTCCCGAGATACCGGACTGGCTTAAAGTGCCACTTAGGCTGCAGAATTCATTTGTGGAGGTAGCTGTACTTTGGAAATAGTGCTTAAGATCCCAATTCAGGAGAACTCTTAACAAAAATAAAAGTTCTCGGTGAAGATACCGGGTAGGCAATTGGCTCTGAAGTACAGTGCAGTTGGGTTCTACCAGAAGCAGGGCAATAGCACATTTCATTAAAGATCTTACACCAATAATGTCTTGCCACTAAAAACCTGATGGGAAAACTAAGCTAGGTCTCAATTACAAAAATAGTTGAAGTATCAAAGCAGTATTCTAGCAAAGACTAGTGCCATATGACAAATTTAGTGGGAGTCATAAAGAATTGCTCATGGGAAATGATAGTGGATGGTGTTGAAAAGAGAACTATAAAACTGGGAAGTTGTTTGCTAAGTAGAGTCTACCAATCCAATGTCTTTGAGCTAGTCTAATTTAGCACATAAATAAAAGTTGCTGGTAACCTTAAATTTGGAGGAGAATGGGCATATGTAAGAAGAATTGTCTGTGTTGGATTTGTGTAGTAGAAATATGATCTCTTGCTAGTAAAATGTGAGGTTTTGAACTTTAAAATAGCTGAGAATTTTTTAATGTTTCAATGGAAAGTTATGCAGGAATAACAGTTGTTTTTTTTCCCTCCATCATTTTCAGGTCTTGCCGTGGCCTCGCATCAGTGGCATCAGAAAAATCTACCAGTGAACATGCATACCGGAAAACACTTAAGTATTCAAGAAAATGATACCATCTGAAATGTAAATATGAATAAAGAATTACATGTATGTAACAAAGCAGAACTATACCGCTTTTTCTTTTTAGTTGAAAAAGTGGCCTTATTGGTTTAACAGCATTAGGGTTACAAGTGTCATACAAGAAAATTGACAGTAAACACTTGATTTTGGTTCCAGAGATAAGATGATATTCCTGATCTGTTCTTTGCTGACAGAATCCTGTATTCAGGATGGGTTGAGGTTCCCTCCTGTGCTAGGAGAATGACCTGTTGTCAGGAACAAATATTTATGTGGTTCTGTAATGAGTTCAGGTTAGTATAACAAGAACACGTCTATTGTTAGGGAACAGCTAACAGTATAGAGACAAGTACAGTTTATTGATTGTGTGTGTGATGATGAGAAGTTCATAAATGAAATTTGATTAAGATGAACTGATTAAGTCTTAAGTAATTGAGGAGTAGTGCTAAAGCTGATTTTGTGAGAGGTAGTGCTGAATCATAGTGATTAAAAAAAATAAAACACTGTCTACTGCTCAGGTCTAATGACTAAAAGTTGGGTATGGCCATAAAAGAGAAAATTGTGTGTAATGGCATATAATATTTGAACATTAATACTGTTTGTGGGGACAGTGAGAGTTATTGGCAAATAGTGGGGTGGTGGGGAAAAATTTGAGTGTTTGAGTAGCTTCTGTTGTAAAAATAAAAGTCACTGGTTTATTTTTACAACAGAGCTACCAGTTGAGGCTGGATGTGGTTGATCCTTCCATCGCCTTTCCAGGAGGGAATGTGTGTGACTGGATGGGGTTTACTAACTCAAAATACATATCGTTTATTTGTACACATATGTATGTGTGTACATAACCCTCCCAAACTGAAATTTCTATTCCATGCAACAGAGCTGAGGTAAATGGTTGTAGGAGTTGTTTTTAAATTACCAAACATAACAATTTTTCATATTATTGCTCTGATAAATAGCCAAAACATTTAGCTGATACTCTCCATGTGAAGAGAGTTAGCCCAAATGTTTCAAATTGTGAGTAATTAAAAAGATTTCATAATGGAAAATTTTCAAGAAGTGTAACTGCAAAAAGTCCCGTCAGTCTACTGTGGCTCATGTAGGCAAACATACGTGCACTTAGGGTGATTAGAATATTTGTTGTTTCAATATGTGAAATGTGTTTTTGTGAATGAATCACAGACATGGGGCTGGATGGGAAGTGGCGAAACCCATTTCATTTTAAATGCTGTATTTTCTCTGCCATGTAGTCTGACTTACGGGAGGCACTCCCCATTCATGCATCAGACAAAGCGAAAGAAGCCTCGGTCCAATATGACAGCCATCTGTTATCCAGGAAGAGATAGGAGAGTCACCATCAGAGTAAACTTAAAGTGCTGTAAGATTAAATTAGAGCTGGCAGGGACCAATTAAATGCTTTGCCCATCTCTGTCAGTATTGGTTCCTGTAACACATGGGTGCAGACTTCATGCTGCAGTTCCAGATACCTTCTTTCTTTTTTTCCATTAGGACAATTACCCGTACTGTAGAACTCAGTTTACATGTCCAGTATTGTCTGAATCTTTCTGTTCCTAGTTAATTATATGTATATAACTTTTTATCACCTCATATAATTATTTTCCTTCTTGGTATTTGTTTCTTTCAAATAATTTTCCAGAACAAGCAGAATGTTAAGAAAAATAGCATTTTGAACTCTTTACTTGCCTACCTTAAGCTACACTTGCTGAGGTTTGTTACGTTTCCCTTTGAGTCTTTGCAGCTCCCAAAGAATTTCTGTTATTTTTATGTGAATTCCATCCAGTTTGCTGAGATCTTTTTGGTAAAATGCCTAGAACTCATTGGTGAATTCCAGGTGTGGCTACAAAAAGTGTGGATGAAGAATTTATGGTTTATGTCCATACAGAGTCTCTTATTTTGTTTCAGGCATCCATATGACCTCCATGTGTAGGGCAGAATGAGTTGCCAGAGGGTATTAATGTTTGGTTCACCAAGAGGCTTGAAGTGCTTAGCTGGTTGTTCACAGAGAAAATGTTCTGCAGTGTGCCCTAGAGCTATAGAGAGGGAAAGTGTTATCTTCCTGCTCCAGGATACACTGCTTCCAAGTATGCAAGTTAAATCTAAATTAGTCTTTTTGTTGGTATTCTGTTACAAATTTATTTGTAGTTTCTGCTTGCTTGTTATCCTTAGATCCTTTACAAATATTATGCCTTGGGGTTATTTCCATCCTATTGAATACATTCCAGAATATGTTCCAGAATATTTTTCTCAGTCTTTTCCATAGCAGTAGCTTGCTTTCTCTTTAACTTAACTTCATCTTGCTGTTCTCTGACTGCATTTGAGCCACGCTGAATTACTTTGAGCTATCTCCATGTCCTCAAAGCTGTCCACATTGTGGCTGCTCAGAGATTAATGAAGACGTCAGAGAAAACAAGGCCTCATAACAGTTCCTTTGGCACCACACACACACGTACATTGCTGCATGTCCTTTTTCCTAGAAGTCTTTTATTTGCTGACAGTTTTTACAGTTTTTATCTTGAGCCCTACAATATTCACTGTTTTATTTAAGCTTCAGAATTTTTACACAGGTCCTTGCTTGCCGTATAATCGCCTCTCATTCAGCGCTGTAATCTATCCAACGCATTCTGAGGGATTTGGAGGTTTCGTGAGAGCACCAAGTGCTGTCCTGAACTTGGAGCGTGTAATATCTAAAGATTTCCTTCGGACCTTGTATTTTGTTGTGGCTTTTGGGAAGAGTGTTATTTGTTCTCTGGTAAGCTAAATATTGCCTGAGGTTCTATTGTCCTTTAAGGCCAACACGTTCAGACTTGCTTGGCCTGAAGTTGACTTTAGTAAGTTTAGAATTTCAAAGGTAGTGTTCTTATCTAGATGTTAAAACAAACAAATTTAATGTGGCAACTACTGAAAACCTAGTGTAGAAAATGTTTACTTAGTACTCTTTTTCTGTACTCACTCAGATGGGGCTTTTCAATGTTTTCAGGGGTTTGCTTCCTCTAGTGCGGATCTTAATGGTAATGTATAATCAGGAGCAGGAGAAAAGAATGGTGTGCACACGTTCAGATGCATCTTCCTAAAATGCAGAAGGCCACAGAACACCACGGAACTATTTAGTAGATAGTATTTAGTAGATACCTGATATTTAGCCAGCAACTAGTGACATTTTATTTTTGGTGTGACGTCCATCAGTTAACACAGTTGCATTTCTCTTTCCAAAATCAAAGCACGCTTCCATTTTAAAGATGCAAATGCTACTGGTTATGCTAGTTAACAGAACTGTAGGTATTATTAGATGTTGCTGGGTAAATGGCACATCTGGGAAAAGGCAATGCAAACAGAGTGGTTACAGGTAATCCCAGAAAGATATTACTGGAAGTTCTTCCAGAACCTGGTCTTTCTACATACAGATGCCCTATATAAATACTTCTGTGTGTGCTGGAGATCTGTATATCTAATTATTGTTATGGTCCACTGATTACAGTAATATCTGCTGCAGGTTGACACAGTGCAAGCGCAGATCCCTTCAGCAGACAGACCTACCTCAACAACTTTGGAGTCTGGCAAATAAAATTAACTTTCTTACCAGTACATTGGTCATTTTGTATCTCAAAGCATGCGATAGATACTGTTCAAGATACAAACTTAGGAAGAATACAAAGTTGCAGAGTAGCTCTGTTCCTCTAATGTGATAGGGTAGCGGAAATTAGGAACTCTTGAAAGGCAAGATGCCATAATTACTGTGTATTGGTTATGGACTCGTGGACAAGTAGGGAAATCAGATCCATTCGCTCTGGAAGCTGTGCAGTTAAGTGACTGAGACTTGATTCTGTTACAATATGGTCTGTGTTTCTTGAGGAGTCTTGCAGCTGCTGCAGTTAGAAAAGCAGTGATAGCTGTTTTCCTTCAGAAGCATTAACTTGATGGCTTGCCTAATAAGATTAAACAACACTAAGCAAAATCCTGAAAATAATACCTCCTGTGCCATATCTCAGCCTCCCCACCCACTGCACCGTCACCTTCCTTTCCTATACTACTTCTAAAGCCATTTTGTGGAGATAGCATTTTGGGTAGCTGTGTTTCTCAGGACGGAACTTCGGCTTTTGACCCGCTTGGTATTTTTCCTCTAATGATTACGTGATTTGTTCTCATTAGGACCATGTGTGTTGTTTTTTTTTCCAAAGAAAAATTGTTGATTGAAAGTATTAACACACAAGGAAAAATAGGAAATGATTATGTTGTAATATGAAAGGGTATCAGATTGTTCAGAGAGGGAAGGGAGCCTTCCAAGAAGTGATCGCATTCTCACACTCAGCTTTAAACACATTCTTTATCTTTAAAAGGAAACAGAAGAGAATCAGTCAGTAAATCAAATGTCCTGGTCTTGTCTGCGAACCTGTATCATTCTGAAGTAAGGGCTTAGGTTTAGGCATTGGAAACAACTGTCAGTGCCAAGACCTCTTGAGCTTTGAGAGAAGTGGGTATGTCTTTCATTAGCGGTACCTTTCTTGCATCTCTTCATTGCTTTTCTTCATCGTTGCCAGAAGATAGCAGTTACAGTGGCTGTTTTGGGTGAATCTTTAGGTACCCGTTAAAAAAAATAAATATATATATACTATTTTTGTACTGCAATACAAAAGCTCTTAAAATCAGCAGAAAGCTTTTTTTTTTTTTTTTTTTTTAATGTCTGTTCAGAAAAGGAAACTGGATTTCTTACCAAAAAGCCTCCACCTTGACTTAGTTGTTATTGGCAAAAACCCACCCTGTTTAAAGATCACATATTCTAGCTGCAATTTTTAAAATCTGTCTTTTGATAAAGATTTCACTGCCAGCAACCTGAGTTTCCCTCTATTGCTCCAGCACCAGATTACCAGGCAGTTCCCTAATTCTGTCTTCTTCTGACTGGAGTAATGCAAAAATTGGTTCTTTTAGGCAAAAGAAATCAGCAGCATCCATGCGTTTCAAATTCCTTCAGAATTGCTTTATCACTCTTTGAAAGTATGAGCATTTTAAATTTTTTTTAAATTAAATGG